CAGAAGTCTTTAAAATCAGGGAAAAAAATTAACTTGCCTGCAGGTCTCACCATTGTGCATGTGGTGGTTATTTCTTTCTTTATTCTTTATTATCAAGAACAATTGCTTTTCTTTAATTTTTTAAAAGTTCATTTTATTAGTGTAAAATCCCATCACTTGTAATCAGGAAAGCCAATGGATGTGTCCAAAGCAGGTGTCATTTGTATATTCTATGAAGTGTATGTGAGGTTTTGTTGGCTAGTTGACTTGAAAGAAAAAAGATTATTTTTGGCTTGTTCCCTAGAATCTTGCCTGTTCAGGAGCCAACAAAACTATAAGAACAAACAGTTCATTATTTACTTTGTTGACTGGTTCCTAGGGGTAATTAATCCATCACTTGGTTCCAGTGAGCCTTAGCAAGGCACTGCCTACACAATCACTTCCTGGAACAAGAGATTACAGAAAAGGACAAAATCTCTGCAGTGAAACACTCACTCTGTGAGATGGGAATTCTGCAACAACAGATGTCTTAAGTGTTGGAATTGAAATATCTCAGATAGCTGGTAGTTAGGCTTATCCTCATCTTCCCTGCTGGACCTAAAGGTGGCTATTGATTAGTCCTGAGTGTTTTCCATAGTGCTGAGAGTGATGTAGGGTCAAGATTTCAGTGTTCACTCATTCACTCACGTTTTGTGAGTAGTGTCAGCTTTGTTTTATTGTATTCCAAGTTGCATTTTATTGGTTGTGGATAAGGAAACTATGGTAACCACGTTATTCTTAGCCTTCTTGGAAGAAACAGCTTTCAAATAAACAGAGAAGGCTGAAATACATTTTTAAGGTAGTTGGCAGACCAAGTGTTGCTTCGAGGCACAAAACACCCAACCACTGAGTTTTAGTTCTTTTGGATCAAGAGAAAATGATTATGAAATAAAAAAGAAACCTTTCATAAAACTAGAATAATTTATTGGCAAGAACATTAGAGGGATAAAAGAAAGCTGAGAAGGTTGTATAGAGCCCACCTAAGAAGATCAGCATGAGAGTGTGTTAGAGCCAGGAAAAATCAATCAAAAAGTAATAATAAGGGTTTGGGATAAGAAAAGAGGTAGGAGAAATAATTTTCTTGGGGCATCTGTTTGACATTCTTTCAAATGCTTTCTTGATGTTCAGGAAAAGAGATTTTTGTGTTTAGATTGTACTTGGTTAAGTTTACTTTGTGTTTGCTCCAGATAAAGACCCTATCCTTGTATTTTATTGCATCCAGGGTATCACTGGGTGAAAATGCAGCAAGAGAAAAATCTGTGCTGCAGTTGTGATGCTGTCCTTCCAGTTCTGCATAGCTGTCATGTGTAGGACAGATGCAGCTCCAAGCTTCATTAAATGTGTTACTGGCCATCTGAAGTGGAGAGCACGAGGGGTGAGGGCTATAAAACCCTGCCTGCCTGGCTCTGCAGTGACCACGGTGATGAGAAGCTGTCCCGTTTTCCCCACTAAGTGATTTGCCTGGGTGAGGAAGCTTAGACCTCTTTGCTTGGTGGTGTCTGAGGTGTCCTGGGGGTTTGTTGTGTCCTGCTGTGTGTGGGAAGGGCCCATGCTGCTCTGTGCTTTGCAGGAAATGCAATTGCAGTTTAACACAGCCTCCATGAACAGCACTGTGCCCATCTCGTGAAAGCAAAGACTCCCAATTTTTTCCTTATCTCCTATGGCTCTATGCCTGATAAGTTTGGAATTTGGTATGTGAAGTCTCATTCCTGAGGAAAGGCACAGTTCATTGGCTTCAGCAGGCCAGGATTTTATCTAAGACATGTAGCCACTGCTGCTTTGTGTTTTAATGTGACAATATCATAATGTCTTACAGATGTTTGAGCTAACCCCTGGCTGTCGACAAGATGCAATTAAGCTAATTGGTTCTAACATATATGTTTCTGATTTTAAAAAGTAATTAATCCAGAAAAATGTTCAAAGTGGCACAAACAATGCATCTGCCTCGTACCCAGGAGCAGACACTGTAGCAGTACTCTCTCCATCCTACTGAGTCTCTAAAACATTACTCTGGTGCTAAACTCTTTGATCCTGTGCTGGGCTCACCCAGTGCTTCTCCCAGACCAGACAATTTGAAACAAGACAGACTTATGAACTGTTGGGTATTTTTAAAAGAAAAAAACCAAAACAAAACAGCAAAACCAAATCAAACCCCCAAATTCATAAAATGTTAATACAGATGAAATCAGAACAATTGATTTTAATTTTGTTAAACATGAATAAATATATATCCTTCATGGCCTTTTTCACTTCATTTATCTTCATTCTATTTAATAGAAATCTGTCTACTATATGAGGGCAAATTTCATAAGACAAACATTTTAAAATAGTGCCACAAAGCATTGCCATTCCTTTTCTTTAAAAGAGTACAGAATAGATTGCAAAATCTGTGATCACAATGGATTGCCAGACTGAAAACAGAATTAGAATTCTTGATAATAAGGAAGCAATATATAACATTCTTGAGTAATCTGGGAGAAGAGATTTATTATCACTTTTGTATCTTAACGTGAGTATATTGCTAAAGCAAAGAGAAAC